TATTCCTTATAGTATTATTGTTTTAATAATATGCTTAATATTATTACTTATTTTAGGTTTTGAATAATATTTTTACTATTTAAAGATTATAAATTTAAATTTACTTAAATAGACAACGACCCCTTATTTAGGAATTAAAGTTATAAATAGTTTTAAGCATTTTTTATTTCTAAATTTTTGACACCTAATTTATCAAATGATCAAACAAGCACAGCTTAGATTAGATTGGATTGGACTTATGCCTAATATTATTAACACAAAAAGTAATTTATAATATATTTTAAAAAATAAATCATATTATTAATCCTAGTCAAGTCACATTTAACTACTAAAATTCAACCAATTTGGCAATTGTAAATAAAATAATGTAAAAGTTAATTGAAAAGAAGCATGATTCCCAATCTTTCACTTTTGTAAGGTGTTGTGCCCATATTCAGTAAAGCATTCAAAGTGGCCTATCGCCCCTCCTCTCCTTTCTTTCTTTTTCCACCTTAGACTCTCGAAAAAGAAAAATGTATGCACTTCTAATTCATTTTTTTAATTTCAATGGGACAATTTTGAAGAATCAATCACCTCCCTCCTTATTTTAATCGTTTATAATTTGGATAAACAACATGGATGATCATCTAACTGTGATAGATTTTAATATAACAATTATTTTTTAATTTTGTTAATCAGATTACTTAAATAACTGGTGTTACTGATAATAAAATTAGTATAATTATATATTTTAATACTAATTTTAATTTAATAAATTTGTTCCTCCAATCAAATATGTGTCACCGTCTGATTTTTAAGTGAATCTTTTAAATGTTTTATGTATAGTTATTAATATGACTCGAATAATACTTTTATAATGATCTCTAAATTATGTATTTAGTTTACGATAATAGTTTTAAATTCTTATTATAGTCTTGGATATTCACTTTTTAATCCAATAGTGGCTACTATTCAAAATAATAATAATGATCTACGAATAATTTCCAAAATCATTCCAAGTATACTTAAAAAGATTTTATTCACCTTCTTTAATCTCATATTATATCATAATTTTGTACTAAACCTCTAAACTCACTTTTATTAAAGAAAAAAAACCCAAATTTGGTTGCTTTTTGTAACTCTATTTTTTTTGAAAATTTTTAGTACATTTTAATTTTCAAATTTAATATTTTTTAATTTAACTTTTAAACTTTTATTTGTATATAATATTTTCTACATTGTGAGATTTTGTCACCTCATCATCCAAAACAAATATATTTAAATTTTTAATAATGACATAAATTTTCAGAAAATTATCAAGTTTGAAAATTAAAATAAAAAAATAAATTAAAAGAGTAAATTGAAAATTGACCAAATTTAGAAGACAAAATATGATATACTTTTCGCAAAATGAGGGTTTGCATGACGGTGATGATTGATGCATTTATGGCATCGAAGAAATCCCCCAATATATTGCATGTTTTCGAAGTTTTGAGAAAATAATATGTTTTATATGATAAGAGTTGGGTGTCACTAAATTTTGTTCGTTCTTTCTTTTTGACCAACAAAACTGAACTCCCATTGAAGGTGCAAAATCCACAAATACAAACCTTTACCAAATTTATTAGTAACTAATACATTCTTCTTCTCCTTCTTTTAATCATTAGTATTCGATCTATTAATTAACTAATTTAGTTCAAGTACGACATAAGTGAAGATGACCCTCTCAACTCAATTTATTTCATTTATAATCGTTAAGATTAAAACTCTTAATTTTGTTTAAGGGATATAATGTTTCATCCCACTAAACTAATTTATTGTTGATAGTGACAAATACATTCTAAGCATGTAGATAAGCTCACACAAACTAAATAACTTTCCGTATGACAATTATGACACATTATAATTGTATTTATAATTAACTTGTAATAGATTTTAGTATATATAAAAATTATCTATTTTTACTTGATACAAAATTATATGTTTATAATTAAACTAATTTCACACATTATTATTTATATTTAATTATTTTAATTTCCCAATGAAGTATGGATAAATCTTATATCTAGTAAACATTAATCAAATTATTATATTCAAATTTATGATTATTTTAGATTTTACACAAGATTTGATCAATTAATTATTTAAAATTGTAAGAGCTTTTAAATATAGAAACATGGCGTAATTTTGTATAAAATTATATGAATTGTTTTATTTTTTAAATATAATTAAAATTAACTATATATTTTTAATATTTTTATTATTATGTTTGATTATTTAAAAAAAAAACTCCACAAGATCAATGCATTGTTTCGGTAATGAAATGTTTAGAGGTAGAAGGCTTACAGAAATTCAAAAGCCAGACTCATCTCCACGCGCAAGTCATAAACTTTACCAACTTCTCTCCCATCTCATCATCTTCTTCTTCCCCTCTATCTTTTACACCTCTCATTTTACATTTTCATTTGTTTTTTTTTTGGTAAAGTACACAAATTGTTCAATGACTATAGGATACTGCTTTGTTGAGTTCCTCAATTATTAAAAGTTATATAATAGTTCATTGACTATAAGACGTTGTTGTGTTGAGTGTCATAACTATTAAAATTTACAATATGGTTACGTAACTATATATATATTCTAAACTTGTAATTTTCTGTTAAAAAATTGATGATAAATTGAGTTGGATGTTAATCTGTTAACTAAGATATGATAAAATATGATCTTATAATCTCAAATGACTTATATCTTAATCAACATGTTAACGTCCAACTCAAACGACTATTAATTTTTAAACGAAAAAAGACGAATTTAAAATATAATGAATAATTAGATAATAATTTTATAAGAGACGTAACAAAGCAATATCATATGGTGGGAAACAATTTGTTTGTGTACTTTACCCTTGTCCGCCCCCCTTTCGCTATGTGTTCTAAACTTTGATCAATGGTGTATTATTGAACGTTGAAAGTAAATTATTATTATTTATTAATAAGTGATTAAAAGATAACATATGTTTAATTTTTTAATTATTAATAATATATGTATCTTAATCGTATAAACGTAATTATTTAAATTTAAAATATTTAAAAAAAAACTTAATTATTGAAATCACTTGGGAATTGTGATATTTTAGCATAAGATCCCACTTCAAGTGATGTGCTAAGCATGTTGCTGGCACCTCATCCACACGTGCTAATTTAGTAGCACCATGCTTCTGGGGTCCACACACACACAATCTGATAAGTGAAATCAAACTTACGAAAATATCCTTCTTAACTTACTCCACCCTTTTCCTCCATTATACCGACCTATTGAAAGAAATGATACAAGGTTACTCAACTAACTATTGCACGTAGGGATGAGTATGGACTGATCAAAATTTTTATTCGATTTTAATTATTTTTTATATATTATTTGATTCAGATTTAGACAGATTTTATTTGATTTAACCTTTTAGATAAAGATTTTTTATTTTATCTAATTTGATTCGATCAATATATAATTATATGTTTATTAGGTAAAATAATGATTTGATTTAAAAAAAAAACATAGAGAATAGATGTTATTATAATTTCTAATCCTTTTTAGCTTTTACTCTAATATTTAATATAATTTAAAAAGGAAAAATAAGAATTTAGTCTATTATTTTCAGGATTATTAAATAAGTTTAAACTTTGATTTTCAATATTTATAATGTTTCTTTTAAAAAAAATACCTGAGAAAAATAAAGGAAAAGAAGAGGTTCGTGTCATAAGAAACCAATATAGCCTACAGGATGATTGGTTGATGAGAAAAATCCATTTTTCCAAGATTTGTTTAACGGAAAACTCATTAGTGGGAATATTGGGAAAGTGGAAATTTGGTACAACTATTTTAATTAATCACTGTCTTAATTAGGGGAACTTGTTTCACATCCCAAGTTAAAAAATAGCACAGCATTTTTAGTTAAAAAAGTTTTATTTATTTATTTAATTGAGTTTTTATAAATACATTTTCTTTCTATCAATTAAGTTTAATTTAATTGATATTATTATTAGTATAATATAATCTAACCCTTTCTGTTTATTTTTATAAACAAAAACATCATAAAATTTTCAAAAAGTGTAATCAAAGTAATGCACCCAATTAAAATATAAACAACCAATAATTGTCTAAGGTTTAGTTCCATGAGACAATGATGATAACATCCCCATTGATAGTTTTTTCCACCAAATTTTATGATATACTAGATTTTTTAAATTATTATCATTATTGTAAATCATTTAACTTCAAATCAAAAATGTTTAAATAAAATATGTATAAAAATGGTCCCTTAATTTTTAATAATAAAATATATAATTAAATCAATTTTATATTTTAAATTGAATTTAAATGAGATAAGCACTACTCAATTAAGGAACATATTTAATTAAAATATACATAATAAAAATCACATTATCTTTTTTTTAAAAAATGAAATTGTGAATTTCACCTATAAAATTGGCGGTGTAGGACTATATTTAATCCAATTACCTATAACACACAAGGGGTTATAAATTCTCTGCTTTTTGTATACCTTTCACCAATAAATCAATGTCTCCTACATTTATTCTCTCTTTTTTCTTCATTTTTCTATTATTATTATTATTATTATTATTTTATATTTATATGAGATTTAATATATTAATGTTTTATTTCACTTATATTAAAATGGTAGGGTGTTAAATGTTGAGTAGCATGAGAAGAACACTTGTGATCCCAATCCCCATGTGAGTATTTGAGGAAGGTAGGGACCTCCCAAGTCTCAACCATAAAATAAAAAGCCCTCCTGTGTTTTCATTTATCGTTTATTAATTCAACAATATCATTAATTTTTATAATCATGCATACTTGATGGCTAAAATAGTTTGATTTTCAAAGGTTAAAATGGAGAATTTTCTTTGTAAAAAAAAACTTACCATTTGAGATTTTTGCAGGTAAAGCTGAAGGGTATATTTCTGAGGAAAAGTTTCAGAGTGCAAAACAGCTTCTTTTGCTTTGCTTCTCTGAGCATTCAAACTTTGTAATGTGAAGTTACGAAAGCTGGATTGAGGGGAAGATGAAAATGAAATCTTTGAGCAGTGTAGGGGTTGGTTTGAGCATAGTTTTTGGGTGTCTTTTATTAGCTTTGATTGCTGAAATATATTACTTGTTATGGTGGAAGAACAGGTTAAGAACAAGCTCAGATCTTGAAAATGATTTCAAAAACCCAGGTACACTTCATTCATTCATTCATTTGTTTCACATATTTCCATCAGCTTCCAAGGCTAACTCTGCTTTCACTCCTCAAGAAATTAGATTTGCAGAAGAACAGCAATGCCATCATCGTCATCAGCAGCAGCAGCATAATCTGCAACCGAACAAAGATTTAATGTTGAAGCCTTTTGATGGAGACCATGGAAATGGAAATTTTGAGCAGCAACCTGGATTTCTCTTCACAATTATTGAAGAGACAATGGAGGATCTGGAGTCTCTTGAAACCCCTTATTTAACCCCTTTAGCTTCTCCACCGTTTTTTACTCCCCCACTAACTCCAATCGATGTTTGTTTCGCTCACCAATTCGGATTCAACCCTTTGTTTGAATCCAGAACTGATGCAGACTTCGATAGGTTAACTACATCATCTTCGCCTCCTTCGACGAGGTTGAAGTTCTTGCAAGAAGCTGAACTGAAGCTTCACAGGGAAACACTAATGGAAGATGTTCATAACAATGGCGGGTTGAAGTTTTCTTCAGCTTATCTCGGAGATGAAGAAGATGGATCTTTTATCACGATCATCGTTGATAAGAGCAAAGAAGAAGGGTTTGACCGCATTAATCAACAGCAAATTCATACTTCATTCTCAGGTACTTCGTCTTAGTTAAAGTTCACAAATCATGTATTCTAATCCTGTTTATAAATTTTATCGAACCATAACCAAATTTTTATATTGCTAATTTGTGTTGTATCAACTTTCATGATGGTCTGTTTTTCTTTAATTTTTGTGAATGTAAAATATAAATAAAATAAATGAATGTAAAACTGTAATAATAATATTAACTGTTAAATAGATACAATCTTATTTAAATACATTAAAATTTACAATCTCTTGAATATAATTTTTGTGTATATAAAATTTTAAATTATATATATATATATCTAAAATAAATATATGTTGATTAAAAATAAAAAAATATGGATAACATGAACTGTATAGTTGGAGTGTGGGACGAGATGTACAAGAAAAAACAGCCTAATATAAGTCTAAGTAAAGGTATTACTGGAAATGTTAATATTTTTTTAATATTTTCGGTAAAGATCTACTTAAAATGTTATTTTTTTATCAAAAATATTCATTTTAAATAACGAAATTAACATTTTCAATAAAAAAAATAACATTTTAAATAATATTCTACCAAAAATATTAATATTTTTGATAAAAACTTTCTTTAATCTTATATTATAATGTTGTACAACAAAATTTCCACCGTGGGACTAGTGATGGTTACTTGTTTTTATTTGAATCTACCCATCCCCTCACCTTTTCAATAGATGCAATCATTGTTTGTGTGAATTTGAGTTACCATTGTTCTTCCAAGACCTGTAAATTTCTTTCAGATCAATCCATCTTTTCAACAATTTTGTTTATGAGACTCGAAATATTAAAATATACATAATATGATGTAAATATTAATAACTAAATAAAAATAATATATATGAAATTTTAAATAATTACAGGTTATCAATTTAGTTAATTTTATTTAAATATTCTATATTTAAATACAATTATAATATTACATATAAAAATTAGATACATGAATTATCTAATGTGATTTACTACTGTTATTTGATTTATTGATCACTTAATTCTGTAGAAATTAATTATGAGATAAACCTTCCAACTTAATTTGCTTCATTCATAACATTAAGATTGAAACCTCTTATTTTACTTAAAAGTTTTAGTGTCTTATCTCATTAGATCATCTAATTAGTATCTAAAATGATTATTCTTTAGGGCTTACACTGGCTATGAATAGATTTTCAATGATTGTTAGAAGATAATGACAAACATTATGATTGCACAATAAATTAGACATCAATATTTTACGTGAAAAAACTTTTTTAGGAAAAATCACTAACATAAGAAGTAAATTTTCATAATGTCGAAAATAGAAGAATGCAAGATGAATCTTTATGAACAACTTGACATCTAACTCTATTCCTTATTGTCTATTTATAAGAATAATTACTTGATTACAAAGACATAACAAGAAATTTATTCTAACCATGTTTCCTGCTCTCAATCAACATAAAATATAATAGACTTCATACTTTCAATCAAACCAAGTTTCCTACTTTCCTCAATCAATTTGAGTCAACTTGAATTCAAGTAACTATAATAATCTTTATCTTGACACGAATTCTGAAAGTACAATGAGTTCGAGATAAAATCCCAAATTCGATGAAACACTCAAACTCAATAAAAAAAATAATTATTTACATCGATGAAAAAGTTCTCCACATTGAGAATATATTATCCATTTCCTCCATGAAACCCCTTAAAGGGTATTCTTCAACAATGCTTGCCAACTTAATCCAAACATTTCCCAAGCATGAATGTATGACGTAATTCCGTCTTCACATCGATAAGATCATCATAAGTTTCAGTGTTGCTCACAGTTGTATCACTACGAGTAATATCATGTACAACATGTTCTGATCATCAATGAGAATTCTATCTTCTTCCCTGTTAATTCATGTGATGAATTGGATTCTCTTTTTTCTTCTCAAATTCATTATGCTCACTAAATTTAATTTTATTCTGCTTCCAAAAATCATTATATCTGAAAAAGATAACAATTTCATCTCTTGACAATATTTTTTTGTTCTTTCATTGTAATGGGAGAAACCTTGCAAATTTTTATACATCTACCTATTACAATACGATTTTTGTGTATGATCCAACAACATAATTATATACTTCAAGGATGTCATAATCGTGATCAATACTAACAACATGAATATTCTGCTACCAATTTTTTAAAAGATAATGGTAAACATATTGATCACATGATAAAATAGACATCAACATTTTATGTGAAAAATCTTTTTAGAAAAAAATCATGAAAAAAGGACAGAATTTTCACTAATGTCGAAAATAAAAGAATACAAGAAGAATTTTTATGATCAACTTCACATATAACTCTAAATATATTTATGGGAATACTCCCAATCAACATAAAATAAAAATAATTCTCCTACTTTTAATCAAACTCAATCTTTTACTTTTCTTAATTAATTTGAGTTAGATCGAATTCATATTAAATTCTACCGCTACCAGAAATTGAGAATTGAAAAATACTGTAGCTATTTTAAAGGAGATATTAAAAAATATTCATATACATAAACTTTTAGAGACGATCACATTGTTCCTTAATAAAAACACAACATAAACATGGAGAAGAAAAGGGTTTTAACATTTGATTTAATCAACTTCCTCGATTTTGGGCTTGCACCCCTATCGGCAGGAGGAGTTACATCATCTTCCATGACAACACCCATCCTGGTACATCTCGGCGATGATGATTGCAAATGCTCTCAAATTCCTTTGTCTTATCTTTGAACTCATCTGCCTCAGTTAATTGGTACATCAATGGCGTCCTCTATCTTCTTCTTGTTAGCCGGGTGAAGTTTTGAATCAATCTTTTCGGTGTTTCTCATGTTGCAGGCGTAGTTTTCCAAAGCGCTCTTGGCCTATACTTTCTTCTTGTGTTCCTCACCCTTTGTCTTTTATTTCTTAGCCTCTTGAACCATCTTCTCGATTTCATCTTTGGATAACTTGCGTTTGTGATCTTCTTCTTCTGGCCAGTCGTTTTGTCCTCGGCAGAGACATTTAGGATACCGTTGGCATCCTTGACGAAACAAACGGGATTTGAGGGACACCTCGAGGTGCCAGAGAGCTCGAACTTACCCAAGTTGTTGTCCCGAGCTCTTTCACCTACATCAAAATAATGTAGAATGTTTTAACAATTATCCCAACTACAAGAGAACTAATTAAGTTTATTAGAAATTTTAAAGTTTCAAAGCTTATCTTCCTACTAATTACAACTAAAGTTAACCCTCTCATAAGCAAAACATCAATAATTTTATAATTAAACTTAAATAAATTTATTTTTTTATTAAATGATAATACAAATATTCAAGCAAACGAACTTGATTTATTAAGAACCTTATTCAAAGGCAGGAACCTTTAAGTTGAACCTTTGAAATTTCAAGCTAAGATGACCTTTGTACTTGGACGGCTCCATCTGTCACCTTTCACCGCTTTATTTCCGTTCTTTTTTTCCTTACAATAGTTTAGGTTTGCTTGAAAATAAAAACATTTTATTAAAAATCAATAAAAGGTTTTTCGTAAAATAAATGAAAATGAAAATTGCAACTAATCTCTACCCTTGCTTGCTATTTGAATAGAAAATCTGTCTTCACGCTCGGACACAAAAGTGAGGATTAATCACGAGTTTATATAAAGATATGATACTATTACACAATGTAATTTTTTTTTTAATTTTATACAAATTTAAAACTATTAGATGAGTGAAAATAAGACTAAGATTAACGATAGTAAATGAGAAGATATTCACTAAAAAATAAAATAAGATAATCTCAACATTCTATTTTCGCTCATTTAACGGTCTTAATCCGTGTAAAACTAAAAAAAAATTATATTATGTAATTGGATTCACATCCAATCCGTATTAAACTGCTTAAATGAAATCGTAAAAGCGTAATAAAGTGCTTATCCGAGAAATACGTTCGTAATTCAATTATCAAACAGTAAAGCAAGTGTCACCTCAGTTAATATTACAACCGGAAAAGACTGCGGGTGGATTGCAGAAAGAAGAAGCTCGGATAAACTGGTCTTCTGAAAGAACGTATTAAAACCCAGTGTTATCAAATCAGTTGCTCAATGGATCCACATCAGGAGTTAATTTTCCAGATCCGAGTTCTGTACCCTACAGACATGAGGGCAAGCTCCCAAAGCATGTTCGGTATACTCAATGGATTTACCTTGGATCCAGGAATTTCGGACCATTTTACAGATGTCTCCAGCATTGGAATATCGAACCATTTGCAAAGGAAAACTAGCTCAACATCGAAACACCACCTGAATATATCATCCGTCAGTTACAGAAATTTCCAAAGGAATGACTAATAGAGTACGGCATTTTCTCTTGCTACATAAATGCTAGACCCGGGACAAGTTAAATTTAAAACCAAGAAAGTACAAAGTGTGTCGAAGACGAGAGACTTGAATTCTTCTGGGTTTGGTGGAAAGAGAATTTATCGAAAATTACTCAGCAAATCTTTTCAGAACAGTGGAGATATGGGAGGTTAAAACACACATGAATACAAATATCTATTACTAAATTACCAGTTCATCTCCATCTACTACTTTCTAACCTCCTATTGTTTATTTCTCCTTATTAAATGCTTATCTGTAAACGGGAAACAACAGAAATGTACCAAAGTATCAATGATAAATCAAGCATTTTGATGGCAGCACATTGATCTAAGCATATAGTTTAGACTTGTTTTGAACTATTAATAACAAGATAAGCAAGTAATAGTGCTTAAGGATAGGTGTTGGATAGTGTCTACGGGATCACCTTTTCAACCGGATGTTAGTAAAAAGCTTCCTTGCTGCAGACCTAGTAAACATCTTAAACCCACACTGCATTTTATGAAGAAATCCAGATAAAGAAATGTTCATAGACAATTCAGTACATATTATGTTACTAATAGAGAAGATATGTTATTTTAGGCCAGAAAATAGAAATCTATACAATAAAGAAACACACCTGCGTATCACGAATTCCAGGT